ATTGGATTGTGGAAAAAGAGGAAAAAAATTAGCTGTCAATTATAAACTCATCTAATACACAACCTGAGACTAACCTTAACCATTTTTCACAGACTCTGTTGTGTGTGAGTATTTTGAGAAATGAGTTCTAGTCTTAGTCATCTTGCTTGAGATCTTCACCATTTGCTCTTCTCTTTATCTGTCAGTGATGATAATATGCAAATACATTTACACTCTTCACACTCCATTAAAAATCATTTTACAAAGTGCTGCTTTTTTTCTCAGTGACTTCTTTTAATCATTTCATGTAAGGGGTGGACCATTAGAAACTGGGATGGAGTGGGGAGCGATAGCAAATTGGAAAAAAGGATTTGCACAAGAGAGTCACACGAACAAAATCTTGCTGGGATCTGTAACAGAAAAAACACAGAGTTTTAATGGTCCACCCTAGACTGACTTAGCTGTGACAATTTTATATCTTTTAAATTTTGGTCTGATGGGGAATTATCATGACTGGTTGATTCATTGCCCTGGCCAACCCCTGAGATATGTCTTTTGTATCGATATTGTAGGTGTTTACACAGAAAAAGAAACAAGAAAGACGCAAGAAATGATTTATGTTGGAATCAATTACTTTTCACCATGTATAAGAAGATTGAATGCAACTCACCAAATAGGCTGTACCAGTAAGTGTTCTTCCCTGCAAATTGTATCACTCTCGGTCATGTGACCCATTCTTGCTGGGTTTTTTATCTCTCTTGTAGATTTGTAATCACCCACAGTTGTTTTCATTTCATTGCTGACAACCAATGGAAACTATTTCTAAGGATGCAATAAATTCATTATGGGGCAAAACAGTGTGTATTATAACATGTTATCTTTTTCCTGTAGGTGCCATACACGGTAACACCGGTGTTTTACATTACATTGATAATGATGCAAGTTTGAATTGGCTTGTTAATAAAGGCCCACATGGTCCATATATACCCTTAATGACAGCTGATATGTTTACATTGTAAGTAACCATGACTCAATTACTGTAAACTGATTAATTTTTACTACTAGAAATTTTGAGGATTTTTACTGACTCACAAAATTCCTGACATAAAAGCAGTTTACAGTACAAACCTATTAAACCTTTTCACTACCAGAATTATATTCTTCAATAATTCTGAAAATGAACCCTAATTTAGGAGCCAGACAAAATTTTTAGTAAAGTTTCAATTTTCACTCAAAGAATTTGGCTATTTATGTGCCAATACTATAGGCTATGAAAAGAAGGAACTGATGGTGAAAAGGTTAAGAACTTTTGCATCAGAATGTTGTGTTTACTAATATATGAAGTATAACATTTTTTAATCAGTCACATTGGGTTAGTCACATTGAATCAGTCACAATGGCTCAGTCTCATTGAAACAGTCACATTGGGTGGTAATTCACATTGAATCAGTCACATTGGGTTAGTCACATCGAACCAGTCACATTGAATCAGTCACATTAGGTTAGTCACATTAAATCAGTCACATTAGGTTAGTCGCATTGAATCAGTCACATTAGGTTAGTCGCATTGAATCAGTCACATTGTGTTTGTCATATTGGGTTAGTCACCTTAAATCAGGCACATTGGATTAGTAACATTGGGTTAGTTACATTGAATCAGTCCCATTGGGTTAACCACATTGCCTCAGTCTATTCAGTTAGTCGCATTGTATCAGTCTCATTGGGTTAGTCACATTGAATCAGTCACAATGGCTTAGTCTCATTGAATCAGTCACATTGGGTCAATTTACTAGTTTAACACAAATAATTTATATTATTAAAATTATATTGATTTTGTTTGTTTGTTTTTTTAGTAAAAATTTACAGATGCTGCAGAAGTCCGGTAAAATAAATGGTATTATGGTGATACATCTTGCTGATCAAGCGCCCCCTAGTGGTGGATTTTCACCAGATTACCAGTGTCCCAATCAAGAGTATGGTAAGTAAAACAAATATTAATGTCATTGCAATGAATATTTTTTTGTTGAGACACACATTTTTTTATGGCTCTGTGGTTGCAAAAGAAACATCACATTAATATCTTGATATCTAAACATCGCAAATCTTTACTCCTCTCCTAATGTCTTTGTTCAGGTCAATGATGAGCTGTAAGGAAGCCAAGCCTACCTTTCTTCATTTAATATTGTTGTATTTCAGGTTTGTACCCGGACTCTGATTGCTCCCAGTTTCCATGGAACCCATTAGGATCTGGAATGATGTATGTGGATTACGAGTACCCCATATTTGCAATGACCGATGAAAATGAAGTGCGCCATCTCATACAGGTGACGTTATTATAACGACTATCTTTGATTTATTGTACCTATGACTATTAACAAAGTTACATAGTTTATTGTGAGTTTGTTATTCATAAAATCTTCCCAAACAAACAAACATACCTCTATTTGAAATGTGTCACAAAGTAAATTATAATTATTATGATTTACATTGAAAGAGGATGATTTCATCAAAGATTCCTGCAGATAGAGAATACAACACAGATGCAATAGTTCAGATTCAGTCTGTGTTTTTTGGTTCATGTACCAAATTTAATTCAGAATTATCGAAGTACGGTTGTATTAATGGCTGCACCCCTAAGATGGAGAAAGATGCTCCAATAGAAACAGTTGCATTGTACCATTTTATTAGAAACCGTAGCTTTTAATACAGATTTTACAGTAATATGTCAGGAACATCGCATTTTTGATGGATTAACAAATTCTAGATGTACTTGTCTGCTCAGTGTCTACCATGTACAATAGTTTTAAATTATGCTATTACCTTACTGTCTAAAATTGAATCGGAAAGCAATATCAAAATGTGTTGTTATATTTTATACAGTATTATTACAAAGAAAATAACCCAGTAAATGATACAATACCAGAATATCCTCTGTGTGCAGTACAGTTAAGTGATAGAATGCACGCTGCTAAAGATACCGAGACGTGCATGAGAAGAAGCTCACGATATACAAACATGGAACAATGTAAGTACTGGATTCTGCCGTAAATTCGCCCATCCAAAAAATCGCCCTGGGCAATTTCAAAAAATGATCATCAAATATTTTTTGGGGACTTGTATTTTCATTGAAAAATTCACCTACGCCGACTTTCAACGCCGGCAGTTGGACTACCCAAAACTAAAGAAACTATTGCAGAAGCTAATCTAAAATTTTATACATTTTTTTCTTGCTGGATTAAAAAGTAGACTGCCGAAAATTTCATTACACTGTCACCCAGCGCATCTTTCTCCAAAAAAAATCACATTAACGAACCTCATGCAGCAAATTAAATTATTTTTTTCATTTTATTAGTAAGTTTCAAATAAAAACAAACACAACTGCATTGCTCAATGCTGTAGAAATGAATATCGCCATGTTTTGACCTGGGACAATTAACCAATGAAAACGATGGATGATGCCAACGTGTTCAAATTACCATAGCTTTTGTAAATATGTTAATGTTATTGAACGCAGCACAGAAGAGATTTGCCAATGTTGTTGTATGATCTTTTGGCTTAGATTTTGATGGGAAAGCGGCATGATTTGTTTTTAAA